CTATTATAGTTCTTGTGCATATACTGAAACATATCAAACATGGAGCCTGGTTATTATGCCAAAATCAAAAATCTTGATGATAATTTTCGAGACGTTAAACCAGTAAATGAAATTTTGGAATTTCAATCAAACCCAGATGCAATCAAACATTTTGACAAAGACGCAGTTTATACAATTTTATGGCAAAAAGACAAAAGTGTACCACCTATTGAAGTTGGGATCCAAATTGCTGATATAAAAAGTAAATTATTATAATTTTTATATACAATAGTATCATTATATACATTTATATAATCTCAGTTTACAGACTTAATTGTGTTCTCATTAATTTCATTTTTAGTGTTAAGAACTGGAAATTGAATTGCTTCAAGGACAAGAGAGGTGTTTTTAGTATACTGAATCAATCAGTCGATATTACGATAGTGATGACTACAGTAAAAATGAGAATGACGGCAGTGATTTTGAAAATGATATCAAGGAAAATACTCCACCAAAAGTAAAGAAGAAAAAAGACTTGTCAGAAAAAGAGGTTAGAAATAAAGAAAGATGTCAACAAAAAAAGGTTAGTTTAATTATCTAATTAGTGTGTGTGAGTGAGTGAGTGTGTGTGTGTGAGTGTGTGTGCGTGTGTGTGTGTGTGTGTTTCATAATAATAAAATATACAACAATGTAAACAATTCATTCTAGATTCGTGATACAGAAGACCAAAAGGAGCTTATCAACAGTAAATTAGCTAAATTTGTTGGTACAAAAACATTATCGTTGGACGACGATGTTTCAAAAGAAAAGAATTTAGATAGTATAGAAGTTTTAGTTCCGATGACACATGAAAAAAAACCATATGAAAGTTTCTTGCAGGAAAAAGTTGTAAAATTAGAAGAAAGATGTTTACATTTACAAGAGGAACAGACAAAATTACAAAATCATATAGATATTTTGAATGAACGTTTAGAAACTTATAAAATAATAAATGAACGTTTACAAATCAAGAATTTACAGTATCAGTTAAAACTGGAAGCATTGACTGTACAGAAGGGAATTGATAAAACATCAAAAGCAGCAATGGAGGTGAGGATCTTATTATAATAATACAATTTTTCATTTGGAGTAAACATTGATAAATTAAGTTTATAATTTCAAGTGGAATTATTTGAACTGATACAATTTTATGGCAACTGTGTAACTCTCTGGAAACAATAATTTAAAATGAAACAAAACTTTAAATACTCTTTTTTTATTTAAATCTTATTACCAATAAAAAAATATTATATAAAAATATATGTTTGAAGAGTGTTATATACCTGTATGAACTGTGCTTCTGAATGTTAAAAAAGGAATTTTTTACCAAACATGGTTATGAATAAATAAATTGTATCGGTTCAAATAATTCCATTTAATGGTTAATGTGAATCAAGTAAATCAATTTGAAAATAAACTTCAAAATTTCTTGTATTAGTTTTCAACATTTACACTATTTCAAATGTATACGCTGTTATTCTTTTTATGAATAATCTTCCAGTAAATGATAAATGTATCGAACAATATTGAGAAACACAGATTTGATAGTCAGCTAGTCACTTTCATTATAATGTTTCTCATTCAGATTGTAAGCTAAAACAACAAATTTATGAAAGTTAATGTAACGTAGAGTAACTACAAAATATTGAGCTTTTTTAAATAATAAATATTAATTGAATAATTATCTAATTACAACTGAATTCATAACGGTGCCAGAATATTTTAAATTATAACCTTATTTGATACATGCCATGTAACAAAAATAAAGTTTCAAGATGTTTTGATTAGCTGAGTATCAAATACTTGTCTGATAGCTCCATCCAATTTTTTTATTAATTAACTTAGAAATGCGTATGAGGGCTTACACGAATGCTCCCAATGGGCTCCTTTCAAGAAATAAAGTTATTAACTATTTAAGATTTTTTTTATCATTTGCTCATTAATTATGACATATGTTGATTATATCAAATTAGGCCTATTCTATTGATTAAACGATAAATAACATTGCTCCCTTAGGTCAAATTCCGCTGAAATAATTTATCTTTCCAAAAAGTTAAGAACAAATAACGCCTACTAACCTCTCATATTTTCAACAATTTCTCAAAATTTTGCAAAATTCTACTTTAAAGGACCTGTTAATATTTTATATTAAATAAATGTGTATATTAACTTTTTTTTAAGGACCAAAATCCTGTTATGGGTAATATTTCGGCTCCTAAAAAATCATCACATTCAGATTCTATACATCTAAGTACGAGCGATGATGACTTCCGAGGATCCCGCGAATTATCTTTATCTGAAATCTCACCAAATGCCAAGGAACTACAAGGTCTAAATAGTACACCTAAAACCAATATTGATTGGATGGAATCCCAGGATGAGTTCGGGGATGTTGAATTGCAGAAAACCCCCACTCTCAAAGTCAAAAAGTTAGTAACTTATATACAGAGTTATTCAGAAGGATTGTAATTCCCGATAAGTGGTCATAATAAATATTAGATCTGCCCTTTTGAAATTTAACAATCTTACTTCATATTTATAAATAGTAACCACAAAATTTTAAAGTGGTGTGCATGAATCAAGAGTTAAGAAAATAGGGGTTTATCGTTATAATGTTTCAGATTAAAGATTGAGGGTACATTTATATAGCTATGCGCATCGCTGATTGTGGTCTCTGTGTCCGTTGAATTAGAGTCTTACCCGACGAGATCAGCAATAGTGGCTATAACGTCTCGTCAAAATGAATCATTTCCGGTTATCCATTCCTTCTGAATCACACCGATAATATATATATATATATATATTGTGTGTGTGTGTAATTGAATAAATTGACTATGCTTAATATTACTTAAATATATTTTTATGATTTTTGAAGGAAAATTAGACTTTGATGACAACTATAGTCCATCATTATTACACAAGAAAATGAGATCACAGGAATCATTTCAATGTGAAGCTAAAACTAGCGATTCTGGAATCGTGGGCTCAACAACATCTGTTTTTAAAAATAGCAAGGTTAATTTGTCTCTTAAAGAGTTTTCAACATTATCACGTAATCTTTTGGGAAAGTCAAAACCAAATACTCATAATTTGGAGAAAGCGAAGGAAAGTACATGTTCTAAGGAAAAAACCTTAGATTCTGCATCGAACATAAATGTAGAAGATGAAACATCAAACAAGTCTTCTGATAGTTCCGAATTTGCAAATTTTGGACATAAGGAAAGTTTCACGAACAACGATGGTATTACGGTCAGTAGATATTTTTTTCCTACAAGAGGAACTATTAATATTTTTAGTCTTACATTCAGATGTTATTCTTCCTAAATATTCTCTGCACGGTTATGGTTAACACTATGTATATTTTTACTACGGGAATTCTATCGGTAATATGCTAGTCAAAACAGGGAGTTCTTTCTTTTTTTCTATCGCGCTCGTGGATTTTATGCGGTCCTATTCCAATTTTGAAGTTAATTGTAAGATTTTGTGAAACTAACTTGTTTTTAAATATTCACAATCATTCACTTAAAATTGTTAGTTGCTACAAATATTCAGTTAAATATGGTTTATTATTACAAAAATTATTTTAAAAAGCTAACTATTAATTAATTAGTAATTTACATGTCTAAACGAAAATCAGTTCTTTTGAGAATTGTAAAAAGTTCACGATTTTCTATAGGGACTCAAAATATTAAAGGTATCTTTTGTAATGTTTCTTTTTATATTATTAGATATTAAAATTATTAAAGCATATTTTGTTTATTTAGACAACAATCATATGGTTGAATAAAAATTTTCATATTCCAAACATGACTGGAAACAATATTTGAAGTTAAAAGATGGTAGTAAATTCACCAAATCTATTTTGAGAGCAATGAATGCATACCGATGATTCTGGCTGTTACGATGTCGAATTGAGTAAAAGATGTGTTAGTGCTGAAAAAAATGCACTAACGCCCAATCGAATCAATCGAAGAGAGCCTCTTACTGAAATGGAACATACCCACACAGCATGAATTAATTCTAAAATAATTCAAAATTAATTCATGAAATAATATAATTATTTTAGAATTAATTCAATGAATTAATTCTGTATTAATTTTATGTCCGTTTTTTTCCTTCAGAAATATAACGAATATTATTACTACATTAATTGACTAAAATAATTTTCAAATATTACATGCATTTTAGAAGAATTATTTTATGAAATATTAACGTAATAGTTTTGAAATTATTACAGTTAGAATATTTTGAATTGTTTAAAAATTAATGTTTAAAATTAATATTGAAGAAATAAACAGCGGACATAAAATTAATACAGAATTGATTCACTGAAATAATTTTCAAATATTACATGCATTTTAGAAAAATTATTTTATGAAATATTATCGTAATAATTTTGAAATCATTACAATAAGAATGTTTTGAATTGTTTCAAAATTAATTTTCAAAATGATATTGAAGAAATAAAAAGCGGACATAAAATTAATACAGAATTGATTCACTGAAATAATTTCCAAATATTACATGCTGTAACGGTTATGATTTACCTAAATAATAAATCGGTGCTCGTTAACAAAATAAGTCACCGTCACTCCCACGTTGCGAAGCTAACCGCCGCTTCGTTGGAGGAAGACTTACCTCCCGGCTGTGGTGCCGACGGCTTCGTCGGATGCGTGCTCGACGTACTGCTTGCGCGGGGGAGTCGGTGGGTTCGGATAGCTGGGCAGAGGAGATACGTGTGCTTCTGCCCACGTCAGTAAACAAGGCGGCCGATTAATTGCAGACACCTTTTATTCGTCTAGCGGTTTGCTTACATCCCGTAGAGAAAGAGGCCGAGAGCTTTACTCAGTGATGCGTCGCTGCGTCGCGCAACGACGACACGCTAGGTTTTACCGCGAGAGAGAGAGAGAGAGAGAGGTATAAACAGACCGTGGACGGATCCGTCCCCGTCCAAATTTTTATAGGCACACGCCATCTTCATAACTTCAAGTTCAGTGGTGAGTTTCAAATTTGATGTGAGAAACGCATCTATACAGTTCTTATATCCGTGATTTACAGCTCCAATTTTATTCAACGTGTAACGTATAAGTTGGTGAGTTCGTCCTCTTTTTCATTATACTGTAATACCGTAAACCGTAATTATAATTAATTATTTATACTTTTTGCCTTATCAAATTGCAAAATACATAATAGGTAGACCAATAGAATTTATATGAACAAATACTATTTGATTTCGGGGAAGGTATATTGCAAGGTGTAGTCAAGTTTGCTGATTTTACAATTGAAAATAATTTTAGAAATACAGGCTAGAATGCAAAAGGCTGTAGATAATACAAAGCCTTCCTTAAGAATACAAAGATTTTATAGGGAAAAACAAGTGTGCGTTGAAAAAAATCATTTATAAAGACGAAAGATTTACAAATTATAACGTATGTTTATTTACAAAATTAGATTTGCATCTTCTATTAAATTTATTTTTGATGAAATTCTTGTAGATGATACATCAGGAAAATTACTTCCGAATAAATTGACTATACATAATTTGACTGATGATTGGCTAAAAGCTATTCAGGTGATTTGGAAAACTACCCACTTAAATGCAGAAAACAATTGTGATATAAAGTAATATTATTTTTATAACTATAAATTCATGATTTTTTATCAGATTGCAATAGCAAAGAATTTTTTTTTCTTTATCTGCAGTAAATCAATGTCGGATTGTTTTCAAGAAAGAGAAGAACTTTGATTGCGTTATCAAGTAGCTGTAATTAGAAATGCTATAAACGAACTTGGATGTAAAAAATTACCTTCTGGATATGACCTTTCAATGGAGGATTCATTTACTGAGCCAACAAAAACAAAGTAAATCAAATTAAAAATAAATTTTTTTCATTCACTATTAGTAATGCTACTGAACTATTATCCATAATAATTAATGTTAAGGAAAACTAAATGAATAATTAATCTCAATGTGCATTTAATAATGATATAAATCAGGATTAGGTTGCTGCAATTAATAATTACAATATTTATATCTTATATCTGATAATTTTTATTGTATTACAGATCAAAATTTACAAGAGGACAACATTTCTAACATTTCTAATAGTTTCTTTGGCTTCAACCCATAAACTTCTGTCTGATAAACAAACAGAATTTAATCTGATTATATCTGATAAAAAAACAGAATAGGCTCATGCATTCTTCATAATTTCAAGTTCAGTGGTGAGTTTCAAATTTAATGTGAGAAACATCTATGTAGTTTTTACATTCGTGGTGGTTATTAAGTTTATAACCCTAACAATATCATAATACTCAGAATAAGCCATGAATGCATAATATAACAAATAATCACAATTAAATTTATTTTATTAAACGTTATAATTATAACCCATCTTTTTTATATAATAAGCGTATTATAAAGGTCATTATCAAAATTGATTATAAACGTGGCACATCCATGTCTCTTAGTACTCTATTAATTTGTAATACTTATTTTTATTATTACAGATAATAAATATGAGAATCGAAGATATTGAAAGATCAATCAGGATTTTAAATTTATTACAGTTCTGTCTTGTTTCTTTAAAAATTTTAAAATTGATTAACAAAAGAAAGAAGAAATTGAGAAGATGGTGGGTCAAACCACATCTTTTACCCGGCATCAGAAATACTGTGGGAGCATATACAGTCATATGTCATTACTTTCAATTAAACAATCATGAAGAATTCCAAATTCATTTCAAGATGTCAGTTGATAATTTCCAAGCTTTATGCGATCTTATTGGGAATAGATTACAAAAGCAATACCATACAAGAGAGCCAATCGCACCATATCTACGACTTGCTTTAACTTTGCAGTAAGTATTTTAAGTATTAAACATTATTTATTAAATATATATACATTAATGTTAAATTTTATTTAATTTTAGTCACTTAGGACAAGGAGGAAACGCTCATCTTCACTCTATACATTATAGGGTTGGAAAATCTACTTTTTACAAAATTATTCGTGAAACATGTTACATTATTGCTTCAGTTCTGCTGCCTGTTTATATGAAAGTGGAAGTTACGGGAATTGTACAAGGAAATGCTTTGGTTACAACCGTATTTAAGCCATATGCCTCAAATTTGTTCTGATAACATGGACTCCTTGATGAAATTATCATCAAGTAGTGGTGAAAACAAATTCGACAAGAGGAAATTTAGTTGGAAAAGAAAATCAGATGATGATATTGAAACATTAGACGATGCCATTGATACAGCTACGAAGTCCATGAAAAAATTGGAAAATGATCTTGCAAATCTTGATAAGAACACGAGTAATGAGAATCAAGAAATTAGAAGATTCATGAATTTAATCAAAATAGGATTTAATAATATTTCTGAATCATCAAAATACAAATGTACTAGAGAAATAATTTCTTTTATTTCGAAATTGAAATAAGTTTTACAATAAAAAAATTGTTATTCACTTTTTAAAATAAAAACTGATCAATAAAAATTAGAAAATATAACACGTATCCACTATTTTACCGCTTACGTTATATACGTGTCAGTTTTCGCCCCATATGTGGCCAAGATTGGTACATATACATTTCTGTTTTTCTTTGTTCAAGCATGTCGTTAGTATTCTTTGCGTCTACATTTCCTACAATTCTACAGTTACAGTCGCTGTAAGAATAAATTTTCAACTGGTGATCAAAGTTATTATAATAATGAATAATACGGTAGTAATAAAAAATATAATGGAATTCAAACCATTCCATGAAGAAAAATTGAACGAGAAGATGAAATTCACGATTGAATATATTATACAAAACGATTTTCGTCGTTTTGTACCAGTGGCGTTTAGAAATATTGAAATTCATATGGGCAATAATAATTATTCGAGATTCATTTTTTGGTTTTCCAATGAAAGCGAAGGTATAATTACATTGGATAATGAGATTAGCCATAAAGAAGTGTTGCAGAAAATCATTCAACAAAAGACAGTGATTGGAGGTTACAAGTGCAGATTTCTTGGAACAATAGAAGATGACAAACCAATAACCAACAATACATTTACAAATCGATGGAGTTTATCGCGATGTGATTTATATCGCAGTATGTGGCCAGCTCAGTTAAACATAATCAACGCTCCTCTGAGGTCACTAAGGGCATCGTTAAGAAATTTGTTATTTTCTCAGATGTCTATTCTTATTACTTTAGACGATTTGATTCAGCAATGGCATTATGCTTGTTTATCAGACAGAAGTTTATGGGTTGAAGCCAAAGAAACTATTAGAAATGTTAGAAATGTTGTCCTCTTGTAAATTTTGATCTGTAATACAATAAAAATTATCAGATATAAGATATAAATATTGTAATTATTAATTGCAGCAACCTAATCCTGATTTATATCATTATTAAATGCACATTGAGATTAATTATTCATTTAGTTTTCCTTAACATTAATTATTATGGATAATAGTTCAGTAGCATTACTAATAGTGAATGAAAAAAATTTATTTTTAATTTGATTTACTTTGTTTTTGTTGGCTCAGTAAATGAATCCTCCATTGAAAGGTCATATCCAGAAGGTAATTTTTTACATCCAAGTTCGTTTATAGCATTTCTAATTACAGCTACTTGATAACGCAATCAAAGTTTCTCTTTCTTGAAAACAATCCGACATTGATTTAATGCAGATAAAGAAAAAAAAATTCTTTGCTATTGCAATCTGATAAAAAATCATGAATTTATAGTTATAAAAATAATATTACTTTATATCACAATTGTTTTCTGCATTTAAGTGGGTAGTTTTCCAAATCACCTGAATAGCTTTTAGCCAATCATCAGTCAAATTATGTATAGTCAATTTATTCGGAAGTAATTTTCCTGATGTATCATCTACAAGAATTTCATCAAAAATAAATTTAATAGAAGATGCAAATCTAATTTTGTAAATAAACATACGTTATAATTTGTAAATCTTTCGTCTTTATAAATGATTTTTTTCAACGCACACTTGTTTTTCCCTATAAAATCTTTGTATTCTTAAGGAAGGCTTTGTATTATCTACAGCCTTTTGCATTCTAGCCTGTATTTCTAAAATTATTTTCAATTGTAAAATCAGCAAACTTGACTACACCTTGCAATATACCTTCCCCGAAATCAAATAGTATTTGTTCATATAAATTCTATTGGTCTACCTATTATGTATTTTGCAATTTGATAAGGCAAAAAGTATAAATAACTAATTATAATTACGGTTTACGGTATTACAGTATAATGAAAAAGAGGAAGATTTGGTGCTGCTTGACCAAATTTTGAAAGAACCACTCGATAGAATTGTGTGAAATTTGAACTGAGTAATTCTTGGACATATATCTACACCCTAAAAAAGCGTTTTTATTTTTAATCTAACTTTGATTCTGCAATATTTCAAATTCTGTAAATGCCGATAAGGTAGGTGCTTTCATGAACGTTTCATATGATCAGTAATGCGTACAAAAGCTTTTTTACGAGATTAAAACCTATAATATTTCTTGGATTATTGGTACGTTAATTTGTAAATTAATTAGTGCATTTTTACAAAAATCATATCAAGAATTAATTCAGAAATAATTTTGAATTATTTTCTGAAAGAATTCGGGTGAATCGAAATTTTGCATTTTCATTTAATTCAAAAATTAATTCAGAATTAATTCAGAATCATTCCTTCCGTTAATTTCGAAATTAAAACCTATAATATTTCTTTGATTATCGGTACGTTAATTCGTAAATTAATTAGTGTATTTTTACAAAAATCATATCACGAATTAATTCAGAAATAATTTTATATTAATTTCTGAAATAATTCAGGTAAATCAAAATTTTCCATTTTAATATAATGCAAGAATTAATGTATTGTTACGTTTAAACTTAAAGACTTCGACTTTACTTTATTAATTTTAAAAAGTGTTTACAAACAGATAACCAAGTGTTAACTAACTATTCTGTGTTTTCTATCACAAACATAAACAAACAACATATACAAATTAATGTTGCAGCGGATACATATTCAAATAAGAACTATTCGAAAGATGCACTCGTAACAAAATAATTAATTTATAATTATATCTTGCGTTAATTTGTAACTTTAAACCTATAATTTTTCTTGGACTAATTCAACATTAATCCGTGAATTAATGTGTATATTTGTACAAAAATCATATCACGAATTAATCCAGAAATAATTTTGAATTATTTTCTGAAATAATTCGGGTGAATCGAAATTTTGCATTTTCATATAATTTAAGAATTAATTTTAAATGAATTCAGAATCATTTGTTGCGTTAGTTTCGAGATTAAAACCTATAATATTTCTTGGATTAATTCAACATTAATGAATGATTTAATTTATGTATTTTTACAAAAATCATATCATGAAATAATTTTGAAATAGTTTTAAATTATTTCAAGATATAATTTTAGTTTTATGTTGTAATTTAATTCATGGTTCCTTTCAAAATCCTTTCTAAATTAATTCATGTATTAATTTGTTTATTTTTACAGGAATCATTACCTCAATTATTTTTAATAGAATTTTAGAATATTTCTTTGTAATATTTCATGTATTAATTAAGAAATAATTTTCTTTTCTTAGAAAATTATTTTTATATTAATTCTTTGCGTTAATTCAAGAATTAATTCAGTGAATTAATTCATGCTCCGTGGGATACGACAATCACTAGTATGTATATTTATCTATCATATTATTTAACTCATAGAATTTCACGCGCGCTCATCTCTTCTATTTGTTTCATTATTTGTTTGCATTTATAGGTTCATTTCAAAAAACATTCTATTTCTAATAAATGTGCTATAATTAACTTTATTGAATTACAAAGAAACTTTATAATGATCGCGTATATTCTCTATCGTTTTTATTTTATACGATTTTTTTTGTTGCAGAATGCTTGACTTACTATTGCCATAAGATTCTGAAATTGGATAAAGAAGGGATAAAAAAAGTACTGGTAAAAAAAAAATAGTTTTATTACGGAGGATATTAATGCCTCCAGAAAAAAAATTCTTCGAAATAATATATCTTCTAATAAAAGAAACTGATTTTCAATAAAGTTAAGCAAATTATATTATTTTAAGGGACCAACCAGTGTTAAACAGGACAAATTCAGAACAATAATTCAAGATTTTATTTATTAGTGTGTAAAAATCGTTCTAATGAAGATATCGTTCTGAAACTTTTTGAGCTTAAAGCGCTCGATGTGAGCTTTCATTTTCTTCTTTATAAGTCTTCAAATATTAACTAGGGCCCCTAGAAAGTCTCATTGATCATACCGTGTTATTTTTTCAAAAACTCCAGCGCGGTGCACGATTCCGGACGTTAGAATGAACGAAAATTATTTTGGGGGCACTCATTTTTTTGTTAACATTTCTACTTGAAAATGAGCGGAGCACTTTTTTTGAAAAGGTCTTTTTTCGATTTTTTTGTCAAGCAATTTAAAAGAAAAAACAAAATTTTATTCAAAAGTTTTTTCGAAATTTCTTGCAAAAACTTGCAAAAGTGACATTTTTTAAAAAAATGCTTCGCTTATTTTCATGTAGACATTATCGAAAAATAAGGGCCCCCAAAATAATTTTCGTGCATTCTACGTTCGGAATCGTGCACCGCGCTCAGATTTAAAACAAAATAACATGGTATATACAAGGGGACTTTTTGGGTCTCCTAGTCAAGATTTGGGGACTTGTAGATCAGAAAATGAAAGCTTACATCGAGCGCTTTAAAATCAAAAAAGTTTCAGAGCGATATCTCTATTAGATCCATTTTTAGAGAATAATAAATAAAATCTTGAATAATTGGTGTTTATCACTGGTTGGTTCCCTTAAGTAATTTATAATTAAGTAAATTAAGTAAATTTTTAAGTAAATTAAGTAAAATATTAAGTAAATTATTAAGTAAATTATTAAGTAAATTATTAAGTAAATTATTAAGTAAATTATTAAGTAAATTATTAAGTAAATTAAGTAAGTTCTTAAGTAAATTATTAAGTAAATTAAAATTTACAAAATATAATTCTAATTCGTATTTTTGTATTTGGTCATTTCAAACCCTATATCCTCCAATGCTTCTAAGGTATCTCATACATCAGCGTAAGTCTAAAAACACTGGCAAATTCACGTGTAAATTCTACCTGGATCGATCGGGAAATCCACTTGGATTTGCCGAGAAATCCACCTGGATTTGTCGAGAAATCCACCTCGATTTATGCTGAAATCCACCTGGATTTGCCAAAAAATCCACCTGGATTTGTCGAGAAATCAACCTGGATTTATGCAGAAATCCACATGGATTTTCCGAGAAATCCACCTGGATTTGTCGAGAAATCCACCTGGATTTATGCTGAAATTCACCTGGATTTGCCGAGAAATCCATCTGGATTTATGCTAAATCCACCTGGATTTCCCGGCAAATCGAGGTGGATTTAGCTTAAATCCAGATGGATATCCATCATGGATTTCCAGCTGGATTTTTTCAACAGGGGAAAGACCTCCCACCAACATTATACATAAAATAAACTACAAAAACATCCATTGGAGTCATTACTGAACTCACATAAACAAATTTATAGAAAACAACTCAGAAACAATAAAATAATATAACGAAGAACAAAAATACAATCTACTAACCAACCTTATCACTTCAACAATAAAACTATACAAAAACAACAAAAATAAAAAATACCAATAACAACTATAACATCAATTTAGAATATAACACTTCAAACATCAATTCAATAAACAACTTATCAGATTATTGTAACGACGGCTCAAAAAAACAAAAAAACTTATAAAAAAATAAGACAAAAAAAATACCGACCACACACTTAGCTCGTAAATCAAGATGAAAAACTTCGTACAGCTGAATAAAGAAAATTTTTCCTATGAACAGCAGTTTTCGGCTCGCGCATTTGGCAATTTTCGGATGCTGGAGACAATCAAAGCGATTTTACGATCGCGTCATCCGGAGTAGCCAGATTGCGCGTATGTTTAGAAAGTAGAGATCTGCAGCGCACATGTGCATCCTGCCAGCAGTACT